TTGTCTCTGTCAGATGCTCTTATCTAAACCCACATGACTGCAGGCAGAGTAACACCAGCGACTTCGTCACATTTGCTTGAAAATAAGTGCATTAAAGAGATTGTGGAAGGAAACACCCCCTTATGCAACATGGTACGTCAGTCTGGCGTATTATTGGCAGGAGTGTGTTCCTCCTACTCTCCGCTCATTGTGCCAGGGATCGACTTTGGCTTTGTTTAGCTCACCTGAAGGGATGTGTATATTTAGAGCACACACTTTTAAACAGCGAGTGTCCTTAAGGTGAAAGGAGCCCACAGGTGTGATACATGTTAAGGCAGGATACATGTTACATTGACATTAACATTCTGACCACCGTTTCTACGCTCAGTGTCTATTTTATCAGCTCCACTTACTATATAGGTGCACTTTGTAGTTCTACAGTTACAGACTGTAGTCCATCTGTTTCTCTGATACTTTGTTAGCCCCCTTTTACCCTGTTCTTCAGTGGTCAGGACGCCCCATGAACCCCCACAGAGCAGGTACTATTTGGGTGGTGGATCATTCTCAGCACTGCAGTAACACTGACGTGGTGGTGGTGTGTTAGTGTGTGTTGCACTGGTCCAAGTGGATCAGACACAGCAGTGCTGCAGAGTGATGCAGTTTCATTATCGATCAAGATGAGTGATCCAGTTTCATTATTAGTAAAACGAGTGATTCCATCATCAATGAAGAGATGTGATCCAGTTCCATCATCAATAAGGATAAGTGATCGACTTCCATCATCAGTAAATACAAGTGATGCAGTTTGATCATCAGTAAAGAAGAGTGATCAGCTTCCGCATTAATAAGGAAGAGTGATCCAGTTCCTTAATCTATAGAGACAACTGATCCAGTTCGCCTGATCAATAAAATGAGTGATTCCATCATCACTAAAGATGCGTGATCCTGTTCCATCATCAGTAAAGACTAGAAGAGTGATTCACTGTAGCTATACATGACACTACCTCCACCATGATTCACAGATGAAGTGGTTTGCTTTGGAAAATACACAGTTCCTTAATCTCTCCACACTTTTCTCATTCTGCCACTCTGGTACAAGTTCATCCTTATCTTCTCTGCCTATAAGTGTCACTGGCTAATTACAACCCCATTTCCAAAAAAGTTGGGACGCTGTGCAGAACGTAAATAAAAATAGGATGCAATGCTGTGCAAATCATGTGAACCATATTTTTAAAGGGAAAATACTACAAAGACAACATATCAAATGTTGAAACTGAGAAATTCTATTGTTTTTTGAAAAATATTTGCCCATTTTGAAATAGATCCCAACAACACGTTCCAAAAAAGTCAGGACAGAGTCATGTTTACCACTGTGTTTCATCAGCTCTTCTTTAACAGCACTCTGTAAGCGTTTGGGAACTGAGGAGACACTGCTGTAGTTTTGAAACTGAAATGTTTCCCTGTTCTTGTTTGATACAGGATTTCAGCTGCTCAACACTTCCCTGAAAAAGACGTCGTCTGGATGGCAGCATATGTTGCCAAAACATGTATTTATCATTCAGAACTAATGGTGCCTTCACAGATGTGCGCATCACCCATGCCATGTGCACTAATGCCCCTTTATACCAGCATGAATACTGGCTTTTGAACTGTGCACTGATAACTAGCTGAGTGGTCTTTAGGCCAGAGGACACAGAATTTCAAATTCAATTTCAGAATTTCAAATTGATTCATCGGACCAGGACACTTTTCCACTTCCCCTCAGTTTATTTTAAATGAGCTCGGGCCCAGAGAAGGTGGCAGCGTTTCTGGATCCTGTTTATATTTGGTTTCTTCTTTGTGTTTTAGAGTTTTAACTTGCATTTGTGGATGCAGTGATTAACTGTTTTCACAGACAGTGTTTTTTCAGAAGTGTTTCTGAGCCCATGCAGTGATTTCCTCTACAGAATCATGTCTGTTTTTAATGCAGTGCTGCCTGAGGGCCCAAAGATCACGGCCAGCAAATACTGGTTTTTGGTCTTGTCCCTTAAATACAGAGATTTCTCCAGACTCTCTGAATCTTTTAATGATATTATGTACCGTAGATGATGAAAAGTAAAAGTTCTTTGCTAATTTATGTTGAGAAATGTTATTCTTGAATTGTTGCACTATTTGATCGTGCAATCTTTCACAGAGTGGAGAACCCCTCCTCATCTTTACTTCTGAAAGACTCCGCCTCTCTGAGATGCTCTTTTATACCCAATCATGTTACTGACCTGTTGCCAATCAACCACCAGGTGTTTTTTAAACTTTACCAGTCTTTTGTTGCCCCTGTCCCAACTTTTTTGGAATGTGTTGTTGGCATCAAATTCAAAATGGGCAAATATTTAAAAAAAACAATACAATTTCTCAGTTTCAACATCTGATATGCTGTCTTTGTACGATTTTTCAATAAATATAGGGTTTAATTGATTTTGCACAGTGTCCCAACTTTTTTGGAAATGGGGTTGTACTTGTGCTACATTTCTGCATTAAGTGCTTCTGTCCTCACAAGGCAGTTGCACAGAGACAGGATGAAAACACAAGGGAAAGACTAACAGAGCCGACTAAAGAGGGAAATTTCTTCTAAAAGAAAAAAAACAAGGTTTCTGCCCAGAAAACAATGCATCCACTCAAAACCCACCCAAGTCCTGAGTGTGAGAGAGGGGGATAGAGGGAGCAGAGGAAGGGAGTCGGCCTTAGATAAATAGGAGGTAATGGGTCATAATGATGCTTAATGACAGACACGGCTTTCCTTCAGGACACAAAGAGCGATGGAAACAAACAAATGATAACGAAAATAAAAACAACAGGCCGGCCTGCGCTGACACAAACACATCTGCTGGTGGGGACGCTCTAAATAAAAGACGGGGCTTCTGCCTCATTCTGCATGTTCTTCCCTTCGAGAGCAGAGGAACGGTATACAGTTCGTTCTTGTTTATTTTTGATAAATGAACGTATTGCTTTGTAATGTGAAATGTTGGCTTCATTTATTATATCATTATTGACTGTGAAGGAACAAAACTCTTCAATTCACGTTCCTGAATGTTCGCGATTGGGCTGAAAGGTGAGTGGAGCATGAATATTTTCTCTTTCCATTCCTAATGTTGATCTCTGTGATTAAATAATAATAATAATGCACAATATTGATTGAGCTTAGGATGTATAAGACCAAGTACTGGTATCTAACTCTGTTATTTTAACTGTTTTTCACTGTTTTTCAAATGTTATTATTCCAAAAGCGTTAATATTTGTCTAGTAAAAATAATTATAAAATAGTAAAACAATTGCTTTATTTGTTTTTCATCTTTAATCAAAACTAATTGAGAATAGTCAAGTAATTGGAACATTTTGGAACTAGATGGATCTAAATTGGATAATATAATGTTTACATAATTGGCAGAATAAATTAAATATTCTCAAATTTGGCAGCTCTTGTGCAAGAAAGTGTACATCAGTTTCATGTTTCCTTCAGGCCTAACTCCAGCTTGATGATATTTTATAGTTTCCAAAAGGTCTTAAAACATCTTTCCGGTTGTTATTAATGTGCTGTAGCTTGTGTTGATGTGTTAGTGGCCAATTCTCTGTGGAAACAAATCCTCTGAGCCCATTAAAAAGAACTCTAATGAACACGAATGATGATGCTGAGTATTTACAGTCTGTATAAGTGACCCATTTAGCCAACAGGATCACACTGCAAGTTCTTCAAGCTTTGTAACAGTAAAAACGTGTCAATGTACTTATTGCTCTGTGTTGCTCACACTAACGTTTCCCTTGCACAACTTTCCAGCCTCGTCTAACTGACAGGACTGGACCTAAAGCGGCAGGAAGAAGTGAAGCACATGTCCCACAGAAAACAGGCCAGGCAAACCAAAACAGAGAGAAACTTCGAGGTGGAGCTGAGAGAAGACAGCCGACAGATTTTAGCACAGCCCTGGTCCTCGCAGGCTGCGCCAAGTTGCGTCGGAGTCAACTTGGACTGGGAGGATGCTGAAACCATCGCAGGCAAACATACAACAAACACCCTGAGGAAGATGAATGTGACTATACGTTAATATCAAACGGCACTGTTCACCGTTGAGACTGCTTGAAATACTAAAACCAGTCATCATCTTAAGGGACGTTTGGAACTTTTAAAACTAGTCAAGTCATCTAGGAGCCATTTTGGGACTACTAAATCTAGAGAAGTCATCTAAGAGACATTTGGGACTACCAAAACTAGTCAATTCATCTAAAAGACGTTTGGGACTACTAAAACTAGTGAAGTCATCTAAGAGATGTTTGGGACTACTAAACTAGTCAGCTTCTAAAATACATTTGGGACTACTAAAACTATTCAAGTCATCCAAGAGATGTTTGGGACTACTCAAACTAGTCAAGTCATCTAAAAGACATTTGGGACTACTAAAACTAGTGAAGTCATCTAAGAGATGTTGGTGACTACTAAAGCTAGACAAGTCATCTAAGAGATGTTTGGGACTACTAAACTAGTCAGCTTCTAAAATACATTTGGGACTACTAAAACTATTCAAGTCATCCAAGAGACGTTTGGGACTACTGAAACTAGTCAAGTCATCTAAAAGACATTTGGGACTAATACATTTGTCAAGTCATTTAAGAGACGTTTGGGACTAATAAAACTAGTCAAGTCATCTAAGAGACGTTTGGTACTACTGAAACTAGTCAAGTCATCTAAAAGACATTTGGGACTAATACATTTGTCAAGTCATTTAAGAGACGTTTGGGACTACTAAAATTTGTCAAGTCATCTAAGAGACATTTGGGACTACTAAAATTAGTCAAGTCATCTAAGAGACGTTTGGGACTACTGAAACTAGTCAAGTCATCTAAGAGATGTTTGGGACTACTGAAACTAGTCAAGTCATCTAAGAGATGTTTGGGACTACGGAAACTATTCAAGTCATCTAAGAGACATTTGGGACTAATACATTTGTCAAGACATCTAAGAGACGTTTGGGACTACTGAGACTATTCAAGTCATCTAAGAGACGCTTGAGGTTCTACAGGTGCAACTATCAGTCATCATGGAATCAATCCTGGATCCCTCTGCCTTGCCTGACCCCACCCCAACAGTGACCTTTGACCCTAAGTCTGAAACAGTCACCCTTCCCAGCAGGGTGGTCTCTGTGGCAGGTGTCACCGTGGTAACTGGGGGCACAGAGATGTCCTGGGGCTCCTGCATGCTGGCCTTTGGGTTTTGGGGCACCCTGATTGGCGTCAGTGCGGTTTCTGTGGGACTGTGGGACTCATTGCACACGGGTGGAAACAGCTCCATCCTACTGGTTTTGGGTTTGGTGGTTCTGGGTATCAGCTCAGGTGTCGTGTTCGGGGTTGTAGTGTTCCGTTCCATAATGAAGAAGAGAGGACTGTCGAGAAGAGAGAGGGAGGAAGGGAAACTTGTGCTAGTGGCTGAAGAAGGAATGAATGTTATTAAAACTGTGACTGTGTGAAAATGGAAGGAGGCAAATATTGATTGTGCTTCACTGAATTTACACTACAGTTCAAAGGTTGGAGTCACTGTTTTCAGTAATATAAAACCAATTTAACTGCAGATTAATGTGTGAAATTAGTTTTAACAGCTTTAGAACTTCTAATTAGTAGGAGGCTGTAAAAATGTGATGAACAGAGCTGCAGGACATCGAGAATGAAGGTGTAGTAATACTGATATTTTAAAAGTGGTGATCACATATCATACTGTCATTGATATATGGGTCGTTCTCCATTTGGAGGGGAAACCGTGTCACAACCATTGCAAGGCTTAAAAAGATGCTTAAAATATTAGGCACAGCTGCAAAAGCCAGTATGTACATTTACACAGTGGACCTAAGATTAATTGATACTTTTTCCTTTTCGATTTTTCTTTTTTTAATCCTGTTTCAGTCGCTCTGCATCTGTAAAACAGCTCATCATCAAATATAAAACAATATTTTCAAGAGGTTTAAATTTAGGAATTTGTATAAAACAGATTCATGTTTACTTTTTGTATGATTAATGTTATACTACATTCAAAAATGATGTATTTTATTTAAAAATTCATTTGTCCCAGAGATTTTGGTCACTGGTGTTATCAGGACTCTTATTTTACATTTTAACACTGTATTTTCAGCTCTATTAAACTGCTTCTTTGGGTCGAGGCTCATCAGAGAGGAAGCGCCTCAAGGCATGAGAAGGCGAGTCACACTTGCTCACTACATTTCATTCATTTATTAATAATTTTGTTTATCAGGCAGCTCATAATTAATATGTGTCATTGGTGTTTTGTGCTGTAATAGCTGGGTAAATAAAATGTAGTCAAAATAATGTCATCATTATCATTTTTATTACTGATTTTAAACAGTTGCACAAGGTCACCTGACCAACGATGAGTCAGTCAGTTTACAGAATCCTCAGTTTTAACCAGAAAGTCACTGGAGTCACCGTCACTGGTGTTACACCATATTCATACAACACCAGTGACTGTAGAATACGTTTGGAATTCAGCTCCTTTCTGCATTTATGATAATAGGAGATGTTAATGAACATGGAAAGAAACTATTTTTTTAAATGTAAGCACCTGAACTCCCACTCCAAATGGAGAATGATCTGTGTACTTGTTCGTTCCAAAAAAGTATAAGCATATAAAATAATTAAATAGCTAGTGATTCCAAACTTGTAAAATATCTAATTGTGCCTGATGAGTGTGCTGTCCACCTTACTGAAATACTGCCACTGTATAAGCCTGATTTCAACACTGCTAAACACTCCAAATGTAAAACATTATATACACAATATATTATATTTTCATATTATATTCTCCTTTGAAGTAGATGAAGTAGATCTGGGACAAAAAGTAAATAAATAACTTCAATAAATAATATTTTCATTATTTAAAACCACAGGACTTTTATATTAAAAGGGGAATTCCGCCAATATTTCAAAATATTTGCATAATTCTGTCGATGCGATGTAAACAAAGTCATTCAGAGTGGTTTTATGTAAACCGGCTTGTTGTAGAGAAGGTTATATACTTTACAGTGGTGGTGACAGGAAGCAGGGGTCGCCATGACTACAACACAGATATAGACATTTTATTTACTATCCAAAACCACCAGTGAACCTACACGAGTCTTCTGAGTTTATATGGAATGGTTTTGAAGGTAAAATAGTGGAAAATCCAAGTTTTCTTCCAAGTTTTTGGAAGACTGTTTTGCCCTGCATGTACCCCTTCGCCATGAATGGATTTAAATAAACGGATTAGCAAGATGTTTTAAAAACAAACTAGTGTCTCAGTCATCAGGCAGTGAATTCATAACCATTTCATGTAGTAACTTTCTGTGAGGGAGCTTTTAGAGGCATTAAACTTTTCAGACGTCTGGTTCCTATCACCACCATTGTGATTGTTTCTCTAAAACAGAGCATTTCACATCAAACTACTCTGAACGACTTTGTCAGTTGATTCAGTGCTGAAAGTTTTGTAAAATGAACTAAATTTGAATTTTTATGTCAGTTGATTTGATGCTAAAATGTTTGTAAAATGGGCAAAATTGGAATTTTTATGTCAGTTGATTTAGTTCTGAATTTTTTGTAAAATTAGCTAAATTTATTTTTTATCTCAATTGATTTGGTGCTAAAATGTTTGTAAAATGGGCTTTTTTTTATTTTTATGTCAGTTGATTCAGTGCTGAAATGTTCTTCAGTGCAGGGAATGGCAGCCTGGTTTAACTGACAAGACCTACAGGAAATAATTGACTGAGTTTCCTGTGAGCAGAAGGAAGACAATTTGGCATTTCCTGTGTAAAAGTAAACATGCTTGGAAATCATGAGCTCAGGGGTTTAATCTTGATTTCAGCCTGAAAACTGTACAGCTTCAAAAGAAGTGCTTGGTAAAATGGAACTGCTCAACTGAAAATGCAAAGAAAGTTTGATTTTTTAAAAGGAGTTTTCCATTTAAAAGGTTTGATTAATGTTAACACTGTTACTGTGAATGCTAAGTCATTAACACAGAGCCTTATGTGTGAATTACATTCTGTTTAAAACCAGTAATTATATAATACACATTAGAACAGGCGTGTCAAACTGGGGACCTTCCAGCCCAAAGTGCTGCAGAGATCAGCGTTTACCCTCATCTACCGCTCTGAATTCAGTTCATGAAGGTCTTGCTGATTAGCTGATGAGCTGAATCAGGTGTGTTTAATGAGTCAGTGAGCTGAAGTCTGCAGCGTTGTGGCCTGCGAGGACTGGAGCCTGACACATGTGCATTAAAATATGATCTGTAGACACTGAAAGATGATCATGTGAATGCCGTGTTCTGTTACCTGAGCTTTGCTGGAGTAAAGACTGATGAAAGATTTGTCTCCATCTGCTGGTTACTTTCCATTATTGCGCCCTTCTCAAAGCCCTGAGAGTTTTAGTTACCGAATTGTTTTTATGCTTCCACTAATGCTTTGTTTTTCATACACGGTTCCCCCTCTGAGAAATGAAATCTACTGTTATAAGTGGTCAGTATATTGTAAAATATACATATTTTCAATCTATTACTTTTTGTATGACTAACAAAAATTGACTTTTCAAAATTTTTTGCATATTTAAGATGTAAACAGAGTGATTCAGAGTGGTTTGGTGTGAAATGGTTCAGGTTTCTTTACAGTGGAGGTGATAGGAACCACCACTGCAAATAACCTACACATGTCTTCTGAGTTTGTAGGGAATGTTGATGATGGTAAAATAGTGGAAAATCTAAAATAATACGTTTTATTGGGGACTATTTTGACTCACACTGTCCTGCATGTATCACTCAACCATGAATTTATTTAGAAATAAACCAAAATCTTCTCAAAACTATCATAAAACAGTGTCTCAGTCATCAGGCAGTGAATTCATAACCATTTCATGTAGTAACTTTCTGTGAGGGAGCTTTTAGAGGTGGACGTCTGGTTCCTATCACCACCACTGTGAACAGTTCTGCATCCTTAAGTTTCTCTAGTTTGGTTCGTTTCACACCAAACCACTCTGAATGACGCTGCGCACATATTAAACATTTAACTATGCAGAAAAGTTTGAAAAATCTGTGGAATTCCCCTCGAATGACCTCAATGTCCAGTTCATGTGTGCTCCAGTAAATGTTGTAAAAGCATATCAGGGCAGAACAATAGATTCCTGCAGCCCTAAACCAAAGGGCACTTCAGCATGAGGAAGTTCAGAATAGTCACTTCTCCCACTGCTGTACCTGAACACTGTAGAGTCTGACTCTGATACCAGACAGCATGAAGTAGAACAACCACAGGAATTATGGACCGAGTTTTAGTGACCGTCCTGGCCGTAGTGCTGCTAACAGGTAAGTCTAAACAGGTAAATTTGTTAAATCTATTTGTACTACTACATGTAGAATCTGAGCTGGCTATGCTTCAGAAAGTTACGAGCAACTTGGACAGGTATGCTGGACTACATCTATCTATCTATCTATCTATCTATCTATCTGTCTATATATATATATGTCTAGATTGCAGCCTGGTAACTTTATCAGGTTTCAACTATGTGGCTTATATTAAATAACATTAAAACACCTGAGTTTTTAGCTGTTTGTAGTCTCACATTACTGTTGACACTATTTCACACATCGCTTATTATTTGGGACACAATATCATCAAGCTGGTTCTGTATGGCAGCAAAAGCAGCACAATAGCAAAACACTGACAGTTAAAGCCAGCAAGCTTATGTTAAAGCTAGCTAGCTAAAGTGCTACATTTCACCATTTATATGATAATGAATAGCTAGAAATCAGTAACACTGTTATGCAGTTTAAGCATGGAAACACGTATAGCGTAACCATGGAAATTTGTTGGGCCATAATCATGGAAATATATAGCATAACCATGGAAACGAGTGTAGTGTAACTTTGGATATGGATATAGCATAATTATGAAAATGGGTGTAGTGTAAGCACGAAAATGGGTTGTAGCATAACCACGGAAAGGGGTGTAGTGAAACCATGGAAACAGGTTGTAGCATAACTATGAAAATGGGTGTAATGTAATCCCAGATATGTGTGTAGTGTAACCATGGAATTAGTTATGCATAACCATAGAAATGGGTTGTAGTGTAACTATGGAAATGGGTTGTAGTGTAACTATGGAAATGGGACTAGCGTAACTATGGAAATGGGTTGTAGTGTAACTATGGAAATGGAACTAGCGTAACTATGGAAATGGGTTGTAGTGTAACTATGGAAATGGGTATAACATAACTTTGGAAATGGGCTGTAGTGTAACCACGTAAATGGGTTGTAGTGTAACCATGGAAATTGGTACAGTGCAACCATGGAAATGGGCTGTAGCGTAAATGGTATGTAGTGTAACTATGGAAATGGGGTTTAGCGTAACTATGGAAATGGGTTGTAGTGTAACTATTGAAATGGGTTGTAGTATAACTATGGAAATGGGTTGTAGTGTAACCATGGAAATGGGTTGTAGTGTAATCATGTAAATGGGTTGTAGTATAACTATGGAAATGGGTATAACATAACCATGGAAATGTACTGTAGCATAACCTTGTAAGTGGGTTGTAGCGTATCCATGGAAATGGGTATAGTGTAACCACGGAAATGGGTTGCAGTGTAACTATGGAAATGGGTTATAGTGTAACCATGGAAATGGGTATAGTGTAATCATGGAAATGGGTATAGCGTAACCACGGAAATGGGTTGTAGTGTAACCATGGAAATGGGTTGTAGTGTAACCAAGGAAATGGGCTGTAGCATAACCGTGGAATTGTAGTGTAATCGGGGAAATGGGTTTTATCCTAATCACAGAAACAAGCTGTAGCATAACCATGAAAAGGTGCCACTGATTCTTTTCTCAGTCACTCATTCTTCTCTTCCTCAGAGTCCGTGTCTGCTGTCTCTATCATCGGCCCTGAGGAGGTTCTCACAGAAGATAAAAGCTCTGCTAACCTCACCTGTGTGGGAACCGGCGCCTTCCACACTGCAGAGTGGATGAAGGATGATCAGATTCTGTCTCCGAGCAACAGAATTGAGTTTTCAACTGATAACACAACAGTGCTGATCAATCCAGTGAAGAGGACAGACAGTGGTGTATACAGGTGTACACTCCGCAACAATGTCACCTCTGAAACAGCTAACTACAGCATGACTGTTAACTGTGAGTACAAAACAAAAATAGCTCAGATTTTCAGCTGTGATTTTAATCTGGAAACCTTTAAAATGTTGAATTGTCAAAACTGGATCATTCTACTGAAGTCGGAGTTGAAAATACATGTTGGACTTGTAACTGATTTGGACTAAAATCTTTTTGCTCTGAGTGACTCTAGATCTTAATTACGCTTATTTTGTTAAAACAAATGATTGAACACTCCATTTTGTCACTACCATAACAATCTTAACACTAATGACACTTTACCAGATGTTTCAAATGTTTCGGTGGTGACAATTTTAGCTCATTTTGAGCTCAAAAACGCAGCCAGTACATGAACACAACTTTGAGTGTCCGCTCCAGGTAAGGGGAGAGGAGCTGCCCCAGGTGGAGGAGTTGAGTATCTCGGGGTCTTGCTGATGAGTGATAGGAAGAGGGATGGTGAGATCGGCTGCAGGCTGGGACAGGCAGCAGCAGTAGTGCGGTCACTATACCAGGCTGTAGTGGTGAAGAGGGAGCTGAGCCATGAGGCAAAGCTCTCTGTTTACCGATCGGTCTACATCCCAACCCTCACCTGTGGTCATGAGCTTTGGGTAATGACCGAAAGAATGAGATCACGAATACAAGCAGTGGAAATGAACTTTCTTCTCAGGGTGGCCAGCTACACTCTACTGACAGGGTGAGGAGCTCGGTCATCTGGGAGGAGCTCAGAGTAGAACCGGTACACCTCCACACTGAGAGGAGCCAGTTGAGAAGGTTCGGGTGTCTGATTCGGATGCTACCTGGACGCCTCCCAGTGGGGGTTTACCAGGCACGGCCCACTGGAACGAGACCCCGAGGAAGTCCTAGGACCTGCTGGAGGGATTATATCTCCAACTTGGCCTGGGAACGGCTCGAAGTTGCGGGGGACAGGGTCATCTGGGATTCTCTGCTCTCCCGACTGCTCCCGCGACCCTATCTGGATTAAGCGGTTTCAGATGATGATGATGATGATGATGATGATCTTTCTATTAAATGAGAAAAGAATGCAAAATAAAATAATTTTTCTGGTGGTCTCAGACTTTTGGACCTCCATATATATATATATGTGTGTGTGTGTGTGTGTGTGTGTATCGCTGTTGTCGGAAGAAAACCTTGTATCTCCAAAATGGTAACTTTACAGGAGAAGGAAAAACCTACTTTACTTTTAATGTAAGTCAATGGAACCAGATTTTTTTCCAAGTCATTTTGGGCCGTTTCTGTTGTTCCATTCATCATGAAATTTACACACAATGTAAAGGGCAGCAGGCATTTTCAGATTATCTCAAAAGCTGAAAAACGTCAAAAATGGAGATACAAGGTTTTATTCTGACAGCAGCGAAATATATATGCATTGCATATAGTACATTTGATTACATTGTAAATCTAAAGTTGAACATTTAAAACCAAAATAAATATTTAGTTTGTACCTGATGGACAAGTAGAGTAGATAGTACATAGTATTTCATTTGTTTGCTGGTATACAGACAGACTGAATCCTCTACATTCACACACTGAGGTATTGACTGCATGTGCTTCTGTGTCAGATGGGCCGCAGGTGAGGATTCTGGGTGTGTCCAGTGTGGAGGAAGGTTCAGATATTCTGCTCTTCTGCTCCGCCGTGTCTCTACCTGCTGCCTCCGTTACATGGACAGTGAATGGCGCCACTGCTGGACACTCTGAACTGCTGATCATCGAGAACAGTAACCACACCCACAGCGGAACCTACAACTGTACTGCGTTTAACAGCGTCACTGGAGGCACAGCGTCCGCAGCGCTCGTCCTCGCTGTCACAGGTGAATCTGCTTCACACACATGTAAATGAACAGACACAGTGATGCAGCTGAAGCATAGCCTTATTAAAGTGTTTATCATGATGATTCCTAATACAAATATAATCATTAAAGGAACACTTGAGCTTGTTTCAACCTAACCTCTTTCTACTGCATCTGCATCATAATCTCGATTACCACAGAGAATAATTTCAACACATTTCTCTGTTCTTAGCAAACAGCTGAAAACCTACTCAGAACTCACCTACAATAGAAGTGAATGGGCAGCTGCTGAATTCTGTGACAACATATTTGAAATGCATGATGATATAACACTACACTCTTAAAAAGATGGTTCTTTGAGGGTTCTTCATTGAAGGAAATGGTTCTATTTAGAATCACAAATTCTATATACAACCATTTGCATACTTCAGAAGTTCTCTGCATGGCGATAAGGTTCTTTAGATTGACGGAGAATGTGCTGTATATGGTCCTATATAGAACCTTTATGAAAATGTTTCTATATAGCACCAAAAAGGTGTTCCTCTATTGGTACAAGCTTGACATCATTCAACCATTCGCATTTTCAGCAAACTTGTTTCTAATGGCTTAACGGAAATGATTACTATTTAAATATTAACTATATAACTATATAAACTATTTAAAGTCCATATTGTGATTTCTGTTCACAACTTGGCAGCTAATGTCATGAAATTTGTTGAACTAGGCAAATGCTAACTGATAATGCTAATAATGCTACCGCTAATTAATCAGGCTAGCTTCCATTCAGTTCCATTCCGCTCTCTGTGTGTGTAGGTAAGGGTGGAGGCCCGGGGCTCAGTCCCGGCGAGGCCGCAGGTATCACGGTGGCTGTTATTGTGGTGCTGGCGGGTTTGGCTGTGGGACTTTACTTCCTCATAATCCATTTAAAGTAAGTCCACATCACGGTTTGACACCATCAACACGACTAACTGCACCATTATCAGCCTGACACCACTGATAGCTGATCACAGTGCTCACATTAAAGCCAGTTCACAGATAAAGCCTTTAATTCAACATGTTAGAAATGAGTATAGAGGCACAATGAGTCTGAAAAACACAGTGAGATGCTAAAGCTACTGCTAATCTGAAGATTTCTCATTTATGACTGTGTTTCAGGAATTCACCCGAACCTCTGTGCAAAATACCGAAGCCAAGTGAGTCAAAAGATCTGCAGATCTGTGATTACAGTTAATTGGTTATGCTACTTTACACTTAAACAGTGACTGTTTCATGCCATGTATGATATATATCATTTTCCAGGTTATTTATATCACACAAAACCTGTTCTGCTCTTAATATTAATTTAAATCAAAATAATTAATAGTAAAAATTAGTCAAGAAAAATAAAAAAATAATTATAAAAATGATTTTCTTCATATTGAATGTTTAACCCCTTCAAGGCTAGTGGTATTGTTCAGTTATTAAAATGAAAACATATTATTCAAGAACTATTATGAATTATTCTGTATCTACTGTAAATTATTCAGTAAATAATGTACATTTTTCATTCACTACTATTAATTATTCAGTAACTTGGGATTTATTCCAGTAACTAGTATAAGTGATTCAGTGGCTACAATCAATTATTTATTATCTACTATAATTATTCAATAACTACTATGAATTATTAAGTATGAAATATTTAGTACCTACCATGAATTATTCAATAACTGCTATGAATTATTCAGTATCTACTATGAATTATCCAATACCTACTGTGAATTTTTCAGTATGAATTATTTAGTATCTGCTATGAATTATTCAATAAGTACTGTAAATTATCCACTATGAGTTATTTAGTGTCTTCTATGAATTATTCAGTATGAATTATTTTGTATCTACTATGAATTATTCAATAACTACTATTAATTATTCAGTATGAATTATTTTGTATCTACTATGAATTATTCAATAACTACTGTAAATTATTCAGTATGAATTTTTGGTGTCTTCTATGAATTATTCAGTATCCACTACAAAGCCAGTGTATAAGTTGTGTAGTTATGAGAGTGAGGATCTGAAATGAGGCCCCCAAACAGACAGTTAAGTTAAATAGTTATTAAAGTCCTGATTGTTCAGTCTAAAGTGTTTCTGATTTTGTTGAATTGCTCAGAGAAAAACAACGAAAACAGGACACAGAACAACGACGTGCAGGAGGAGGATGAGCTGAAAACAACAGAGTTCAAATGCCAACCGCAGCAAACCAGCCAAGACATGCCCAGACCACGGAGAGAAAGTAAGAGACATCTAGATAAGGTGGAGGGTGAGAGAAAGAGAGAGAGTATGTGTAGGTGTGTAGGCTGTATATAATATATAACATATATTTCTGTTCATATGTAATCAGGACCAGAGCAGCATTTCTATGAAAACTACAACAACAAACCGCCTGTGCCCCGTATTGCCGTGAGTTCATAATCAACACTTTACAATCTACACTTATCAGCTTTAAACACTTTTAAAGCACTCTTAAATACTGTACTAAGATTTCATCTCCAACTAACATCTGCTGTAACAAACCCATAACCAATATCTCTTCTCTTTCAGAAACCCTCACATCTGCCTGGCCGGGTCACCGATTTTGTAAGGAAACTCCCGCATTATTGTAGTTATTACACAGTTATTCCAACATTGTGCAGGAAATCTGAGTGACTAGCCTCCTCCTGCAAGCGTGTTGAAGCATCATACACACTAGAGAAGGTTCTGCAGCCTTTTCCACACAGCAGATCTGTGTAAACTGGAAGAAAATGTTTGAAAACACCTTTTTTTTTCACTGTGGCTGTCCTGCCTACAATGTCCTCTTTGTTTTACCCCTTAAAATCCCAGGCTTATTGCATACTAAAGCTTATTATCGAGTAACTACAGGGACTTTAATGCGAATTAGCTGAGCTATTTTTAGGTTATAGAAGTGTGTAATAAAACTTTGGCTATTTAAGGGGTAAAAACCAAAATATGGTCACCCTACTAACATAATCTCAGTTCACAATGAGGTGATGCTAAGCTATCACTTCACTAAAGTTTAATTGTTATGGTCATTAGGACAAGGTTGCGCCGCTGAATGTCGCTGGCTCTTGTTTAACCCCTTAAAATCTCAGGCTTATTACATGCTAAGGCTTATTACTCAGTAACTACAGGGAGTTCAATGTAAATTACTTGAGCTATTCTTAGGTTATAAAAGTATGTAATAAACTTTGGGCCTGCTGGTGAGCCCTGGCCATTGGGGTCAAAATGAATGACTTTCAGCTGCTTTGTCGCTTTCATAGCTGGCTGCGTGCACACACACTGATACAGTGAATATTTATTTGCATATAATTTTGTTTTTGTAATATTGACTTATAAGCTGTGATATATATGACACTATGATAACTCCAACTGCAGGGCCACTTTCTCACCTAGTTTTATTGTTGAATTGCTGTATGTAGGATTCAGCCAATCAACAAAGGTCCCCTGAACTTGACAGACCAAGATTGCCCCCTCGTCCGGACAACATCTTCAAAAATGTAAGAAATTTTTTAATGATCTCTTTTAATGTCTACACATTACTATGTTGTCCTTAATATGTATTACACATGTATTCCCCTGTTTAAAACTTTAACAGTGTAGACATCGAGAGCTGGGCACAAACTAACACGGGCGAAATGGTTCTTCAGATTGATGGAGGATGTAGATGGTTCTATATAGAACCTTTTTCAAAAGGGTTCTACATAACACCAAAAAATGGTGCTTTGTTAGAAGCTTGACATCACAACACTAGCAGAACCCTTTTCAAGAAGGGATTTCTTCAGGTCACTCAGATCTCTCGCTTTTGCGTAGCCAACATTTGCACCGCTGAGTGTTGCTGCTTCTTGTTTAAAATAATGACAGTGAGATATATATATATACGGCACTATAAAAGACTTGCGGTGGTAATTTGGTGACCAAAAAGAACAGATAAAAAGAAAGATTTTGCATTAAACAGTGCTGTGTTATCATATGTTCCTTCTTACATAGCAAAAAGTTAAAAAAATCCTGAAATGACCGCAATATACAGTGATGACCAAATGTTCTTTTGTTATTTTTGTCAACTGTTACTAATAGTAACTTAAATTATTTTCCGAAAAATGGTATATTTTATCATATTTTATGTTGGCCGCCGTTTTATAAAAGCAATAAACCACTTGAGGCCGTGCATTACAGTGATTTTACTGCGACCCTGAGGACTGTTTTTAAACACTCCTTAAAAAAGATGGTTCTTCAAGTGTTCTAGAGTTCTATATAGCACCAAAAAAGGTTCTTCCGTTGTTATGATGCCAGGCTTGTTACAGTAGAAGAACCCTTTTTGGTGCCATATAGAACCATTTTCAAAAAGGTTGTATATAGAACCATCTATAGCACATTCTCCATCAATCTGAAGAACAATTTCATCATACAAAAAACCCTTTAATCATGCAGAAGGGTTCTTTGAGTGTTCATGGTTCTATATAGAAACATTTTCTTTGAAGAACCAATTTTTTTAAGAGTGAAGTTCTAGTTCTAGTTCCAGTTTTTTTGGGAGATATTTTAAGGAGATTAGATATAAGAAAGAAAAAGAAGTGAAAAAATATGAAAAAATGGGGCTCCTAACAACCACCTGGAAGACCAGGTAGACACCAAAACTGCCCCAGTCACATAAACAATGGACTGACCACCCCAGAGTCCAGACTTCAACATCACTGAATGTGTTTATATATATATATATATTTTTTTTTATTATACGTTTTTTCCGCCTGTCCTAATGTCCTAATTCTGATTCTGATTTGCAGGATTCACATGTGTACAACACTAAGTTGAAACTGATTTCCAATGATAAGGTAATGTCCACTGTGCTTGTCCTGTAATACTAACACTATGTATGACCAGTGGCTTTAAAGGGCCCATATCCTGCAAAACCCAATCGTCCTGGATTTTAAAAAATAAGTGTTTGATGTGGCATGTAAACTTTGCTAAAGCTTCAAAGCGTCACTATACAGTTCATATTGAAACAGAGTTTTGAACTCAGTTTTTGTGATGTCATAAAAAAACAACACATTAGCATATAAACTATCTGCCAATTCAGCCCATGGCAGTTTAGCCCCGCCCTTTCACATTGAAGTTATAAGGAGTGTTTCAGCCTTGACTGCTTTTTGAATGAGGCACACATTTACATGTATCGGTCTTAACCCTTTTTGTGGGCAATGATTTAGGTCTAGCCCTCGTAACTTCAGAGCAGTTTAAGCTACACATATCAGACCCTAACTAGCTAGCATGACTTCATCAAGTTGTGACGTCAGCATCAGTGAGTAATTCAGCTCGGAAAATCCTGATAAATGCTTTGTTTTTTGGCCTTCTTATTCCAACAAAGCGTTAAAATGGTGACATGATTCACACATCAGGTCACTCATCAGACTCTGCCCTTACAATCCAGAGTGATTTCATCCATCAGCCAGCAATCCAGCTCCAAAATCACCCACAAACCTACTGTTATACTACATCTCTGCTTTTAGCCTTCATATTATAAAAAAAAAGGGTTAAATATAGGGACACGATTTACACACCAGAACCCTCAGAGGAACCTGACATCACTAGCCAGAGTGAGAAAAACCAGCTCTAACATCCCACAGCCCAGAAATACAGCACAGCTAGATCACTGTAGAACCTGCTATTAGCTCTCTGCTTCATATGGCAACAAAAGGGCTAAAGGTCCAGTAACAAAGATTATGAGAGGTTGAGAATTATGAATGGTGAGAAGAAAATGATGTGCGACCTTTTTAGTGGATCACAGGGAAAAAGTAGACTATGGGCCCTTTAACTGACCAGTGGAAGGATTTTCAAGTTCCAACATTAAAGTCTGAAGTTCTTGGCGTATAAATAACTACTGAGAAAATAATGAAACCATCTCTCATTTCAGCTGTTGGACCACGAGGACAGCAGAAAAGAAGATTTCAGTCTGAAAAAGGTGTTAAAGTAAAGATTTCCACCAGTGTTTTCCAATTTTTTTGTCACATACATTAGAAATAAAATCACAGATCTACTGTACTAATGTTTTTAAAAAATTCAACAAAATAACCCAAAAGGTTTTGTTTTTCTAATACAAATTTAACAATAGCACCAGGAGTTTGGTGAGTAAGGCTGTGGCTATAGTGACTCATCTGTTACTCACTGACCTCTGGTCCTAAATGAGGACAATGCAGTGCAATATAGTTGTAAAGTTGTCACAGTCTGACGGTAAGTGATGAACTGCAACAGGGAAGTCAGATTTATCATTCATGAAGAATTTACAGCACTGTGAAGTCAGATTAGAGGAATTTAGCCCTCACGCAGCACACTGACTTCTGATCTGACACCAAGTAAATACCAAGGCTAATATTTCAGTACTTATACTCATAACATAACATACTCATAACACAAAACACAGACAGAGTTCAAATAAAATACACATAGTATAAAAACAGAGTACACTGAGCTGTAGGCATTAAAACTCAGTTAAACATACAATCTGAAACCAACATAAATAAATATATGCACACAGCTTTATACAGTTTAAGACTGTATGGCTTACTGAAAGTGACCAGTGTGTGCAATTAGCACTGAGCACTGTGATAAGAGCATAGGAATTGCTAAAACCACTGAGATAAGAAAGGTAAAGAGTCCCAAAGAACATAGAGTAAAATAATAATAAAATTATGAATAATAATAAAATAATAAATGTTTGTGTGATGTACATACATAAAGAAAGAGAAAGTCAATGTAAAAAAAACAAACAGGAATTTCTAAAACTGGAGTTTAAAAATGATCTTAAGCTGCAGAGAAAGATTTGACTCCTAGCAACCACCTGGAAGACCTGGTAGACACCAAAACTGCCCCCATCAGATAAACAGCACTACGTCTGTTTAGAGGAATTCAGCCCACACTCAACATGCACCCTGACAGGAACCAGAGAAAAAATAAAAATGATTGCATGATGTAAATATTGACTGTTATATTAAACAAATGAAATGAAACGAGATAAATGAAAAAAAAACGAGATAGAGATATTTAAAAAAAACATGGCTTAAATGTAACTGATCAGGCCTGATAACTATAAGGGTGTGGCCTAATATTCTAATGAGCACACATGATTGGCATAGACCACAGTAGTCGTGCCTCATTCTGTAGTCCTCGTTATGCCCATATTAGGAACTCTATGGCCAGAATGAATAGGGTTTTTGAAAAATCATCTCTAGCGCCCCCTGTGTTAAATAAAAATGTTCAGAACCCGATACATTTTGTCCTGTGAACATTTTTCTCTCGTATATCACTGGATCCTCTGAATTATGAGGTCGTAAAGAGCTATAATACTAATATTGCTACATGCGAGCTAAAGCTAAGCTACACAAAACTAAGGCGGGTTGTGGCGGTGCTCTGACGAGCTGTGCTACTTTATTGAAATGTTCTACCGTAGCGCATAATTACAGGTATACCCGTAAATAAAACCTCTTGGTGGGATATTTTGGTAGGCTAAAACTCCTTATCAAAAACACTACCAGCATTAAAACTACGAGGCTGAATTTAGCTTCTTTTTTCGCAGCTTCTTGTTTGAATGTTCCCGTTCCGAACATTCCAAAAATGTCCCGAACATTTTTGTTCAACACAGGGGGCGATAGAGGCGATTTTTCAAAACTCTATTTATTCTGCCCATAGAGAAATGGAGCTCAGACCCAGAGTTCCTAACATGACCACACGACTGCAGTGGTCTATTCCTAAAACTTAACAGCACCAGTGAAGAGGGGAGAAATTAGTGAAATGGGCTCTTCATATGCAGGTGGTGTTATAGACACTGCTGTGTCCACTTACTAAGAACATCATCCAGCTTTTATAAGCCGCCTTAAACGAGTGGCTAACTGCTAACAGGCCGAAAGCCACGCACACACCGCCCACCACAAAACACATTTGATTCCGTCTGCCGCTCCAGCACCAGCATCTTTCAGCATGATCTCACCTTACGGGAGGCACCATACACTCGCGTTAGCTTAACCTAGCACGCTACAGCTTACAGGACTTAGCTTCCAGAGAACCTGTCGAGAGGAGAATTACACTCTGCAATGTCTTATGGGTTTCTCCGACGCTAGAGGGCGCTCCCGAGCGAGTCCAAAATGAATGGGTTAATATGGAGCATTTGAGTAAAATCATAGTTTATAAATGCTGAAACATTTTTAATGTAAAAGAATTCAATCAATTCCTGAACACAGAGCAGCATAAAACACTTTAACACTGCTGTTATATTTTTAAGAGCTTTTAAACTCGAGTTATAGGAGTTTAAAACGGGGCCTCATGGACGTTCATGACATCTGTGAGTGGAACAGCCAATCATCACTCTCTAGCAGTAAAGCCCGCCTTCTGCTGCCCAAAACCCATTTGCTGTAAAAAAAGGAAACATACAGGTGAGTTTTCTTTGTTGTTTTAAGTGAAATCCATCCTTTTACTCTCTTTTTTGTGATCAATATTTTATTAACAAGTAAACAAAAAAAAAACACGAGTACTATGTTCAAAAAGCCCAGGACATGCCCACAGAGCTTCCCACAGCAAACATAGTTGCTAGACATCAAAGTAGCAACACCGACGACGACAGCAGTGATGGTCAGCGGCAGAACCACACAAGAGGAAAAGACATATAAACCAAAGCAAAAGACATATAAACAAATGAATACCTAAATAGATAAATGAATAAACTCAGTATGCTGAAGTTTACACCCTCATATCAGTCAGAAAAGGTTGCTATGCTCTCATTGCTCTTAACAGCTCTTTCTCAGTATTTGACCAGGACACAACTGTTCTTATTTTGGCCTTATTGATCCTGGCTGTTTTACATTCCAAAAGAGCGATGTCCCGAAAATAAGCCAAACAAGATGCATAGGAACAGAGGGTTCAAACCATATTTTCAGTATTGTCTTTTTGGCCGCTGTGAGGCCGGCCAAAAAATCCTTTTTTGATGAGTAGAAAACAATTCTGCAGAGTCATCAAGTAGGAGGAAAGTCCAGGGATCTTTGTGTACAGATTTTCCCAAAATATTAGAGAGAGTATTTTGAACATATGACCAAAAGACATCCGCGATAGGACACGCCCAAAACATATGCATATATGTACTGACTATTGCTGAGTTACACAAATGACAATAAGGATCTTGTCTAACTCATCCTTCTACTTTCTAAAATTAAAGAAACGTTCTGGTTCAGTGATTAGAAACTATTTTAACTTCTCGTTTTTAGCCGTTGAGCTCCATTTACTCCCATTCATTGAGGACTCACTCGTGGGCGCCCTCTGCTGTTTAGCAGTCCTGTTTTTGATATAACGGGGGAAATAGGAAGTGGCCAGACTCCTCATAAACCGGCTCTGTTAGCTTCCTCAGATTTATTAGCAACTAAACTAGTCAGTAAAGCTTTTGTTAGTCAGAATTCTGTAGTGAGCAGAGCTGGCAGCATGCTAGTTAAGCTAGTGCTGTTTAATATTTAGAAACTGGTGCTAGATTAAAGCTTTGATATTTATTGAATGGTGGGTTTAAAATCGTGCACTGCTTTCATTTATTTGCCATCCATGTGAGTGAAGTGAACCTATCTGTTATAAAGTTTGAAATAAGGAAGGAGGATGCTGTGGCACAATACCGACATAAACATAGAACCGAATTCCAAATGGAAACGCCACTGGAATGGTGACCCTCCATGCTCAGAAACGTTTACTTTAGGGGCTATTTTGCCTCAGCATACCAGCGTATACTTCCACCAGGAACAGATTTGTAAAATGTATGTATTAGGCCAACTGTAATAACATTCTTTGAGGTGGACGTCTGGTTCCTATCACCACCACAGTGAACAACTCTGAGTTTCTCTAGAATGAAGCATTTCACACCAAACCACCCTGAATGACTTTGTTTACATCTTGACCATTTAATTATGCAGATAATATGAAAAATCAATGGAATTTCCCTTTTTAACTGGTTCTGGTTTGACCGTGATAAAGTTGTGAAATGTCGCCCCCTTGTGGATGATGTGGAATTCTCCACAATTCAAACATGTTCCTCATACAAAACTTTTCATAGACATTTCAACCACCTTAAATAACAAACGAGAACTTTTAAGGATAGCATTGCTTTTTACAGATAATCTGTTCTGACTAAGATTTTCTGCACAGCCTTAAAATTTCAAAATTATGTTAGAGGTTTAAAATGCAAACTGAACTCTTGTATAGTTATATCTTAAGTGATCATGTGAAACATTTCTTTAGAGTTATGCTGAAGCTCAGAGAACATATTTCCAAAAAGAAATGTAAAATATATTTTCAAATACAAATATTAGGTAGGAAAAGCATAAATACAACAATTTCTCATTTAGCACTCTCTTGGCTAGTATGAAGGGTTTTAGTGTTTTTTAACCTATTCAAACCTCTTCAACTCCTTGAGATCACTGGTGGTTCCAAAACGCACTTCGTCATATTCTTCATGACTTTCATATTTCATAAGCTACATTCTAAAGGTGGGGGTCGTATGAGAGCTGTAACTGTCTTCTTTCCAGTCAAATAGATGGGTGATGTAATTTTAAATCCTTATAATAAAAGAAGCTGAACTGAATTTTTTTCCCTACTGAAAGTCGACCCATTTTTCCACAAATCTGGGCTATAAACTATAAACAGCGTCTCTTCAGTGATCTGCTCTGTAAAAATTATTTTTATAAAATAATACAAAGAGCGTCTAAGATTTTTGGCTTTCAGCAGTAAATTGTAAGCATGTAGCAATATATGTGTATGATCATAAAACACATGTTCTGTTAATTTGAGGTGAGCTTTTACAAAAAATAGATAAATAAATAAAATAAAAAATTACGTTTATTTCATGCAGTTACTGAATAATTTGCCTTACGATTTGGTCATGAAAATTCAGATGGACAAAATATACCCTGGAGAATAAGAGGTTAAAGTCAGTGGATCGATCTTACGTTGCTATCGAGAAAATTCGTTTAAACTGTACTGAAATAATGATGATTTTTTCCGGTCTGTCCGTTTTAAAAAGTCATATTCAAGCAATCCGTCCATGGCTCAATCTCTAATGGCTCCCTGCTCCCTACGTAGTGCACTTCGTGTGTGTCGAAATAATGGCTCCTGCACTTCAACAGCGCTAATATTTTAAATAAAGAGCCATTTGAGAGTCTCTACTGGACCCTCAGTGCACTATTTGCGTGCTGAAGCCAAAATATTCATAACCTACTCAGTCCACTATATAGGGAGTAGATCGATATTTGGGATTTATCCGGTACAGTTGAACCTCGCTCTCTTGTTAGCAACATCAGATGGATCCGCTGACTTCAACCCCGCCCACCTCGGCCTCCCATTGGCTGCTCGCTCCGAAGCCCATCCTCGTCCGATCTCTCTAGCCAATGGGAAAGCTCTTGCGTCACATGACGCTTCGGCGTGCCCCGCTCGGCAGACCGGTCGCAAAGCCTCTCGGCACTTGAAGTTTGTGGCGGTTAGCTTAAAGCCAGTTACAAATGTAGGGGAAAACCACAATACCCATCAACCCCTGCGGCGAATGGGACGTGGTTTCTTTTCATACGGCAGCGCCAGGTAAAATAAAACCACCGTCTCGAAAAAGGAGTAATGTTATTGGCGCTGTCACAGCTTTAGACGAGGACAGGGAGAAATGGTGAGAACTATTGGAGACCTTTGATGTTTTAGGAGGTTTAATTCTCCTTAGTTAACCGCTCTGCAGGCTGTGTTTTGTGTTAAGTCTGTCTGTTGGAGAGGAGATTAACCTTGTGTGTGCTTGTTTTGCAGCCCACTTCCTAGAATAGAAACAGGCTTGGAAAGGGAATCACTGGTGTCACCTTTAGGAAAACTGAATTAATGCTGGTTCATGACTTTTATTGTTATTGTCAGCACGAAGAGTCCGCTGGTCATGACCCAGTTCCCCTTATAAGCATGGCAGAGTTAGAGGAACTTACAGTTTACCTGCATTTAATGTGTAGGATATCTTCATTTACTCTCTGGGATGCTGCCAGTGTTTCCCAGCACTTTCAGTGTGGCAGACAGTGGATAACTAGTAAAAATGTTCAATTAATCAATCAACCAGTCAACCAGTCAATCAATCCAAGGGGGTGGTGGGTCTAAAAGGGCTTGCCAAGCATCTAATCTGTTTTCACTGTGATTTAGATTGCTTAAATAACAATATTTTTTAATAATATGTTTCATTTTTGGTTCTTGTGTCATGGTATTAATATTAGTCAGTGTTATCAACAGCACCCTGGCTAAGAATATATCGCTGTTGTCGGAAGAAAACCTTGTATCTCCATTTTTGACGTTTTTCAGTTTTTTAAATAATCTGAAAATACCTGTTGCCCTTTACATTGTATGCAAATTTCATGATGAATGGACTAAAAGAAACGGCCCAAAATGATTTTGAAAAAAGTCAGGTTCCATTGACTTACATTAAAAGTAAAGTACGTTTTTTCTTTCTCCTGTAAAATTATCATTTTGGAGATACGAGTTTTTCTTCTGACAACAGCAATATAAAGCAAACTTCTGATAATAGTATAATGGCTTTCATCCAAGGCAGCTTGGTTTATGTATTGTATCACATAATGTCATTAATAGGGAATTCTACCAATTGTCCATAAAATCTCCATATTATTATTAAGGTCTAAAGTCATTCAGAGTGGTTTGGTGTTCTAGAGAAACTTACTGAGTCAGAATTGTTCACAGTGGGTGACAGGAACCAGACGTCCACCTCTAAAAGCTCCCTCACAGAAAGTTCCTACATGAAATGGTTGTGAATTCACTGCCTGATGACTGAGACACTGTTTTATGATGGAAGTGTATATTTTCCCAATGTAAAATGTTTTCAGGGAGACAGCAATGGAGTCCAGTTGTCAGACCCCCAGCTTTTCGACCGGCAGTTTGAGAAGCTGGTGTCTGAGCTGACGGAGTCGGACATGACGGACCCCGTCCTCAGCGATGCTCTAAACAGACTCCGCGAGGTGAGTATTTACGTCTGATTTACTTCGTGTTCCAGGAGGAACAGTAAATAAGACCACAGAAATTCAGCTTTTTGGGTTCTAAGGTCAAAAGAGATGAGCATGTTTTCTATTTTTTTTTTCAGAAATTCATGCTCATTAAACACCAAATATTCTTATTATTTAGTATCTATATGAATTAAAAAGATTCTTCAAGGCTTCTTCCATAAAGAAAATGGTTCTATATAGAACCGTGCACTTTTAAAGAACCCTTTGCATGATTCAAGCCTTCTTTGCATTGTGAAAGGGTAAATTGATGAAAAAAGTGCATGAATATGCTATAGATGATTCTATATAGAACCTTTCTGAAAAAGGGGTTCTATGTAGCACCCAAAAGGGTTCTTCTATTGTTACACGCTTGACATCATAACAGTAGAATAACTCCTTTGGCTGATATATAGAACCATCTACAGCACATTCTCCTACAGTCTGAAGAACCCTTTCCTGATGCAACGGTTGCTTTGAGTGTACATGGTTCTATATAGAACCATTTCTCTTTACTAAAGAACCCTCGAAGAACAATCTTTTTTAAGAGCAAAGCTACGACAAATTATTCAATAACTACTATGAATTATTCCGTAACTAGATAAACTATTTGGTAGGGTATTATGAATAATTCATTAACTGCTGTGAATTATTAAGTAAATACTATGAATTATTCATTAGCTATGATGAATTATTCAGCATATACTATGGATAATTCAGTATCCACTGTGAATCATTCAGTGTCGACTATGAATTATTTCAGTAACTTATATGACCTGATCATTAACCACAATTAATTATTCATTTTCCCCTTTGAATTATTCAGCAGTGTTTATAAATCATTCATTATCCACTGTATATTATTGTGTCGATTATGAATTATTACACATCCACTATGATTTGTTCAGTATCTGTTATGAATTATTTTTTTATAGATATTACAGTACAACGCTCCAGGTGGGAAGAGGAACCGGGGCTTGTCTGTGGTTGGCTCACTTCGAGAGTTTGTCCCGCCCTCCAAGCTGCCACCTGAAGAAGTTGAGCGCGCCCTGGTGGTCGGATGGTGCATCGAGCTGGTGATTGCGCTGTCTTCTGTTTTGAGCTAATCATTCAGTGCGAATCTATAACTTATATACACTACTGAAAAGTTTGAAATCAGTGTTTTTATCAGCATAAAACCAATTAATTTACATTAAGATAAAAGTATAAAATATATAAAATGAAAAAAGCATTACGTGTTCAGAGTGATGAGCAGAGCTGTGGAAGACTCTAAACTGACTGAGAAAGCTGGAGAACATCAAGAATGAAATTCTAATTAAATTAATATTTAGAATGAAGTTCTAATAACATTAATATCCAGAATGAAGCTCTAATAGAATAAACATTCAAATTGAGGTTATAATAAAATTAGTATCCAGAGTAACCACAAAACAGATAACATAAAAGATGTAATTTAAGCGTCTAATTCAGTATTTAATAACTTCTTGTTGTTTCCAAAATACTTGAAGTATTGAATAAAACATCTACCAATAGCTTTTGATGTCTCGTTTTCGGTAATTACATAATTAGAAAATTAACCCAGTGATTCCAAACATTTGAATGGCGCATTAATGTGTATTTATTGTCTTTAGTGGAAAATTTTGCCAACATTTAATCAGATATTCTGTGTCAGGATGAGCTGAGATTTAATTAAAGTGAATCTTTCTTTTCGTCTGTCCTCTCCTTCCTCAGCTCCAGGCTTTCTTCTTGGTGGCGGATGATATTATGGACGCGTCTTTAACGCGGAGGGGTCAGCCGTGCTGGTATAAGAAGGTGAGACTGTATTGATTTGATAAAAATACACTGAATAGCAACGATTGGAGTAACTTAAGAGTAGATAACTCTACTAAATGGGTAGAGGCTTATGCGGCTCTCTAAGCCAGGCAGCTTGTTCTGCTGAAATGGACAGATGAGCCCCCCTCCCTCACCTGGATGAGAGATCTAATGCATTTTGTGACTCTAGAAAAAATTTGCTACTCTGTGGCTGGTTGTGGTCACAAGTTCTATAAGACATGGCAGCCTGTTATGTCATGTAGAGAATATGTAGATTCTCCATTTGGAGTGGGAACTCAGGTGGGCACCTTTTTAAGAAATCAATTTCTTTCATCCTAAAACAAAACAATCTTAATATGTCCATTAACCTCTCCTATTATCATATATGCAAACAGGAGAGCTTAATTCCAAACATGTTTTACAGTCACTGGTGTTGTATGAATGTGGTGTAACACCAGTGACGGTGACTCCAGTGACTTTCTGGTTAAAACTGCTCCTTTTACCTGCCGGTGGCTGCAGCCATGTACATGGTGAGTTCATGCTAATAGCCACTGTGAATATAAAGGGCCCATATCCTATATATATATATTTTTACTTGAGGTCAAATTATAACATTTGTGCATTATTTGGTACATTTATGTGCAAAAAAAAACATCTTAATTTATGATTACATGACCATTTTGCAACGTCTCTTTATCCCTCTCTTTTCTCATTTTGAAAATTAGCACATCTTATATTGACAATTATTATAATCGCTTAATATCACCACCTTCAGATCAAGCATTTAACCTTGTACCTTAAATTTCTAGTTTGTAGCGATATGTTATAGACCATCGATGCTTAATAAACAGATGTGTGTATGTATTTGATGCTGTATGATCGTGAGGAGCCGGCGTGTCTGTAGTCATGCGGGCTGTGTTATCAGGATTATGTCTAATATTAGAGCAGAGTGCAGTATTAGTTGACTGTTTTTGTCCGTTTTCTGTCCGTCAGGAAGGAATCGGGCTGGACGCCATTAATGACGCTTTTCTTCTAGAGGGGTCCATCTACCGCCTCCTGCGCAGGCACTGCAGAGGGCAGCCCTACTACATTCATCTGCTGGAGCTGTTTGCTGAGGTTGACACTCCCTGAAACATCCCCACACCCACTGCTCAATCAAAACACCAGAACCTCCTATCATATTAATACGTTTTGTTATGACGAGGACAGTAATAACTTAGTAGTTTTCAGTATTAGAATCTAATTCAACTAAAATGTTTTGTGTCTTCATTCAGTATTAAAGCACTTTTGAAACAACAAAAATCTATTATATGATTAATAATATACTGTATTTATCCATTTATAGTCATTTTGGTCAACTTGCCTGTGTTTTACTAGAGTAGATATGCAACATATAATAACATATTATTATAATGATATGATAGTAGTTTATAGATTTTATTATAACTTTATTCTAGACATTCATTTTATTGTCAACTTTATTCTAGACATTTATTATATTATCAACTTTATTCTAGATATTCATTTTATCATCAACTGTCTTCTAGATATTCATGTATTACCAACTTTTTTTCTAGGTATTGATTTTATAATCAACTTTATTCTAGAGATGTATTTTATTACCAACTTCATTTTAGATATTCATTTTATCATCTTTATGTTATATAATATTTTATTATCATCTTTATTCTAGATATTCATTTTATTATCAACTTCATTTTAGGTGTGAATTTTATTATCAACTATTTTAGATCTTCATTTAGAATAAAGTTGATAAGATTAATATCTAGAAGGAAATTGATAATAAAATAATTTCTAGATAAAAAAATAAATATTCATTTTATCTTTTAAATTGATTCTAAAATGAGTTCTAAATATTTTATCTTTTAAATATATACTGAAATAAAGTCTAGATATTTTATCAATTTCATTCTACATGTATATTTTATTAGCAACTTTTATTTTATTATGAACTTGATTCTAGATAAGAATTTTATCAACTTTATCCTAGATATACATTTGTCAACTTCATTCTAGATATTCGTTTTAGAATAACGTTGATAAAATTAGTATCTAGAAGGAAATTGATAATAAAATCATTTCTAGATATTCATTTTATCTTTTGAATTGATTCTAAAATTAATTCTAGATATTTTGATATTTTGAAACTTTGATAACTTGATTCTAGATATGAATTTTATTAGTACTAAATTGGTTTTGTATTATTGTAAACATTGATTGCAAACCTTTTCAATAATATATCTTCTGTACTGAGACATGCGTATGTGTTTATCTGTAAAGTAGGAATGATAAATGATGACTGCAGTCAAAACATCTTTAATCGGACTTGCGTTTTTCCTCTAGACGTCGTTCCAGACCGAGCTGGGTCAGGCGCTGGACCTGATGACCGCACCGCCACACAAAGTCGACTTGGACCGCTTCACCATGGAGAGGTGAGAGTGGAGGGAGCGCAGGAGAGAAAGAGTGGATGGAATATGATTCATGAGGAGATGAAAATAACTGTCATTTCAATGCTGCTGCAGGTATAAAGCCATAGTGAAGTATAAGACCGCGTTCTACTCCTTTTACCTGCCGGTGGCTGCAGCCATGTACATGGTGAGTTCATGCTAATAGCCACTGTGAATATAAAGAGACCATGTCCTACATTTTTTTTTTAACTTGTTGTCAAATTGTAACATTTGCGCATTATTTGGTACAAAAACATCTTAATTTATAATTACATGACCATTTTGCAAACTCTCTTTATCCCAGGCTGTTTCTGTTACTGTGAATTTAAGACTCATATCTCTAGAGCTCTGTTCTGATTGGCTGTGTCTCGTGCAGGGCTGAAACACTCCTTATAACTTCAGTGTGAGTGGGCGGGGCTAAACTGCAGTAGGCTGAATAGGTGGATATACAGAAACAGTGACACATTAAAAGTACATAAATTGGACAAAATTCACACTTCAGCATGGCTGCTACTGTTTGTAGCTATGCAACGTACACTGTATATCCAAAAGTATCTGGACAGTCCTTCTAATGAGTGAATTCAGCTGCTTTAATTGATCTACAGGAGATTGTTTGCACATAGACATCCATAGAAAAGCAATGACCAATAGAATGGGACACTCTGGAGCAGCTGCACATGGGCCTAAGGTCACTAAGGTCAGAACTGACCATCGGTCCATGACCTCACTAATGCTCAATCAAATCCTCACAGCAATGTTCAACATCTAGTGTAAAGTCTTCCCAGAAGAGTAGAGGCTGTTACTGCAGCACAAACTCACTATTAATACCCTTCATTTCGGAAGAAACGCTAGTGTCTACAAACTTTTGGACATGTTTATACGTAACTGTGTGTTAGAAACCACATAGACTGTATGAGTGTGTGGTGTTATGATGTGGATTATGGGTAATTTAGAAGGAACTGAGATTTATCTCTCTATAGATTTCACAAATAATTCCATACTCGTTTTTGTTCACTACAGGCAGGGATTGACAGTGAAGTGGAACACAGCAATGCTAAACACATCCTGCTGGAAATGGGGGAGTTCTTTCAGATCCAGGTAACAAATATTTTTGTTTTGGTAGTGACATGTATCTAAAATCTTTCAACATCACCTCAACAGCAATAACATATATTGAAAACAGTAGAGGGAAAAAAAAACATGTGTATGTATGTGTGTGTGTGTGTGTGTGTGTATGTGTGTGTATATATATATATATATATATATATTATTTTCATCATTATTTTCCCAAGTGTAAATTTAGGGGATTAGGGTTAGTAATGTCTACATAATGTCTTGGGTTTAAATAGATCAGAACATCATCCTTGTAAATGTCTGAATACTTCATTGTTTTTTAAGTAGTGTTTTCTGTGGGAGGCAGTTAAAACTAATTCAGTACAACTGTCCATATATAACCAGTGTTCATTAATATGTTAATCTATTAGTAATATTACTTCATACCGCATTTATTCCAATGTTAAATATTGTGTTTTATATTCTGTGTAAATTCAATGTGTATTGAATACAATAGTGTATTGTAACTGTGACGTGTTTGTTTGTTTGTTGTCGCCAGGATGATTACTTGGACTGCTACGGTGACCCTGCAGTGACGGGTAAGATCGGCACTGATATCCAAGACAACAAGTGCAGCTGGCTGGTGGTGACGGCGCTGGGCATCATGACCCCAGAGCAGAGGGCGGAGCTACAGGTGAGAAAGTCATCATGTAGACTCACCAGGAGAACGCACATCAGACGTCTTTCAATCTGTTTTTAATGACAAGCTGTTTTAGCTCTCAGTGCACGTCTTCCTAATATCCACAGTTCAGTTTTAGCAAGTAAAAATGTTACACTACTTGGAAAAACATAAAATTTTAGATAGTATTTCAAAAAAAGAGAAAATGTTGAAATCCTAATTATTTTATGTTCAAATTGATTTCAATTAAAAATTATATTCCTGCCTTTGAATTGAGTACATTTTGTAAATGTATCTAAAAATCTATTTTTACGTGTAAGAATTAGCACAAAAATCAGTTTGAATAACAGTGTCTGTGTTTACACGCCAAGATCTTCTCCAATCCAATTGAATACATTCTGATTACAGTTTAGGACTCACTCTACTCAACAATCTGATGGAAAATCTTTATTTAAATGCTCACTACAAGTAATCTGATCCAAACTTACGCGCATACTTACAGCACCACTTAGTGTAGACGTTACCATGACAACCAGCATCACGTGAGTCCAGTCAGAGTGAGATGAGCAGCAGTGAGCAGCGCTTGTGTTTTTAACTGCTTTAAAATGATGTCCGACTCAGGAAAACGTCCTTCACATGTCCTTATTAAAGAAGGCCGAGAGGAAGACGTCGTGTTCTGAGACACATAAGCTGGACGTCCGTCCCACCGCCGTCTTTTAAAGATCAGAGCAGAAACTTCGTCTCCTCTGCAGACCAGTTTCTGCTCCGCCATGTTGAACGGTATAAACTTTCACTATGACGTGACGAACATGATCAGAACAAACTTTCCGATAGGGAATGTAATCAGATACAGGCGTTTACACTGATATTATTCTTCTATTTAACAGATTATATACAGGATTACCCACCTCACTTGATTGGATAGAAACTGTATTGTGAATGGCCTCAATAGGACTAGCCTATTCCTAAAGCGGTGTATACATGGACGTATTCTATTCTGATTGAGCTATTAGTCGGATTATTAACGGATTATTAGGCTGCAGTAAACGTGGCTAATGTCACCAGGTCATCATTACTTGTGACAGCTGTATTTCTCATATCAAGAAATATGAGATTAAAAGATAAAGCTGAAAAAACTAAGAACTATGATGTAGAATTATTTAGCATTATAACTTAATAAGAAGGGGAAACAGCTACTGGAACACTGGCCTTCATTTTGGGCTCATAGATTCCTCTGGACTTTGTGAAGTGCCAGACACTGCTCCAGTCCACTCTCTCTCAAAGTCCTGTGGGCCCAGATGTCACTGCAGATTGTGACTGCAGGAGCTGAAACCACTGCACTGCACCAGTGAGGTTCAGATATGGCTGTGGGGATGTCCTTTTGGGTTCTTAGTGTGTTTGTCAGCCTGCGTTGTTCTGCATCCTGACTGATATGAACCGTCTCACTGTCGGCCCTAAAGTGATGATTCATCAAACACTCCAGATGTGGTTGATCACTCAAGATATGTTTGGTGTCTGAAGTTTGTTTCTCTTAGCACCAGTGCTATGAGGCTAATGTGGCTAACAAGTAATGGAAGCTTATACCAGCGGTTTTCCACCTCGAGGCAGTCATGGGCTGGAGGTTTGGGAATCAACCTTGTGACAGGAAGGTTGCCGGTTCAATCCCCTGAGCCGACAGTACGTGACTGAAGTGCCCTTGAGCTCCCTGGGTGTCTTACACTTTTCTCACACTTTTTATACTCATTATTAGACAACGATTGAGTGTATTTGTTTTTAGAGGCAAAAAATGGTTGAGGCTGCTTTTTTGCAGAGCTTATATTAATTTTAATGTTTCAAAACATTGTATAATTCATGCTTATTGTTAAGTCAGTTCTATTTTCATTGATTTTTATTATAAAGTGCTGTCAACAGCCCAGTACGGACTCCTTCACCCCCTCAGTTTTGGCCCGAGGACCGCCAGAGGACGCTTCGCTTCCCAGTTGTGTTTGAGAATCCCTGATTTATGTGAACACTAATTAGCATGGTGCTGACTGCATGCCTGATTATGTGTTTCGTGACACTGTATGATGTTACAGAGCTAAAAACAGCAGCAGCCATCTTGAAGCCTGAGGATTGTCTGAACTTAATTCCATGTTTATAGGTCACAGTGAGTCATACAGAGTCAAAAACCACATAATCGAGTCTATTAGAGATACTGAACACCTCCACATGCTTTGAGGCTGAGTGTGATGATTTAGGCTCAATCCCATTTCTTATTTTTACCCCTTGTTTTTGAGTGTTGCCCCTTGGAACTGAGTTACAGGGGATAGTGGTTGAAGTCTTCCCTCTGAAATGGGACCCTCAAATAAAAAGAGCATTACTTCATTAACAGCTACCAGCGCTGCTCTGTAGGCGACCCTGCCAGTCTGCAGTGACAGCAGAGGAGGGTAAAGTTCAGCTCCTCACTGCTGGGCTTTAGTTACATTTAGGGCATCATATGATCTTCAAAGAGGGGGGCAGTTATTTATTATCACCCACCCCTAATTCTTCAGTGATATGAAGCTGAGGTCAGATATTCTTCTGCAGCAGTTCTGAAGCCTGAGGCGCCAGAATGTAACTGCTGCACCATTTAAGGTGGAACGGGAAAGTTAGCTAGCTACCGAGACATTAGCATACTACTAGCGATTTTTATGCTTGTTATGAAGAAAAGGACCAAAATACACTGAAACGACATTAAACTAAGATAATATGATGTTTATTGTAATTTTTTAACAGAGAAAATTCTCACATTTGTGGGTTTCTTTGGTCTCTTGTTCTCCATCTCGCTGGTTTTTCTGTTTTTCTCGTATCACTCTGTTTGGAGTCTCTGAAAAACCTCAGTTTGGAGGGTCATGTAGCCCCAACACTTCACCCTACCCCCTCTATCTCAACAAGAACCGGGACACCCTACCCCTAGACGAGAACACGCAAAATTGGGGGTAGGGCTGAGTGGTAGGGGCGAGGGGTGAAATGGAATTGGGTTGAAGACATGCAGTTAGCACCATGCCAACCACTAACTTGCATTACATTAGCTACATTAGCTACATTCGCTCGAGGCTCCAGCGCAAAACTAAGGAAGCAAAATTCAGACACCAAATTTGTCTTGGCTGTATTTGATTAAGAGATTTATGTAAATTTGACTTTCCTTCAGACTATCACTTTAATGATGCGCTCTCTCGCGCTCTCTCGTGCTCTCTCTCTCTCTCTCTCTCTCTCTCTGTCACTCTCTCTCTCTCTCTCTCTCTCTCTCTGTCACTCTCTCTCTCTCTCTCTCTCACTCTCTCTCTCTCCCTCCCTCTCTCTCTCTCTCTCTCCCCCTCAGGCGTGCTATGGGCAGACCGACGCTGAAAGCGTGGAGCGAGTGAAGGCTCTCTACGACACGTTGGAAATGCCTTTGCGCTACCACCAGTACGAAGAGGAGAGCTACCTGCGCCTCCAGAACCTCATCCAGCGCCACGCTCAAAACCTCCCCCACGCAGTGTTCCTCAACTTCGCCAAGAAGATCTACAAGAGGAAGAAATGAGGCGGGAGTCAGTGGACTGGACTGCGTCAGACAGAGTCACAGAACATGACTATAGTCTGTTGGACTGCGTTTTATCCGTGGTGTAAATATGTTCTCCAGATTGTAGATATCTTTATCTTAAACGCTTTGGAAATAACACAGTTGAAACAAAACGTCACAGCTCTGTTTATACGTCGTTTGGAATCACCAGCTGTCCTGTACATTGTGTGAATGTTTTGTGATGAGTGGATTAATAGAAATGGTTCAAATGACCAGGAATACAACAACGTTACATTGACATACATTACAGTTATGTGCGGTTTTGAGGTTTGAGGTTTTGTTACCACGACAACCCAATTGTCATTTTCGCACAACTTTTTGAGGGTGGTTAAATTTTGAGGATGAACTACCTACTCAGAGATAATAATGGTAAATAAGGGCTGCCGATTGGCGCGGCTATCCAAGTTGCAGACTGTCCATAATTAAATTGGGTAAACATATAAAAACATGTTTCTTATGATTGTTGTCGCCCTTCAGTCTGTTTTGTAGTTCACTTGTTTTTAGAGAACAGGGTCAGAAACCACATAAGTCTTTTATGCTGTCTTGACACGGTGAAACTTGCCGTACGACATGGTCAAGTGATGCGTTAGCGCCAATTTGATTGGCTATTTCAAGAAAAAACTTGCTTCACGAAGTTGAGACATGCAACTTTTGCAGTTTCAGATGAGTTGCAGGACGCTTTACATCATGCAACTCAAGTGCAATGTAGTTTCATGTAGGTTTCAAGCAACTAAAGTTTCACCCTGTAAAGCCAGCCTTTCAGATTTCAACTCCACATGGTTTAAGGCAAGTTTGTGGCGATTTAAGCATGCAGTTAGCACCATGCTAGTTAGCGAGAATAGAAAGTGTATGATGGCACACTGGCAGGGGTGTGGCTGAAATAGGGCTCCGCCTACAGACTAAAACTTTTGATAGTGACATGAAAATGTTTTCTTAAATGTAAAAATTAAACTCATGACGAATTTAAATATTTAAATTTCTCTTTAAAAGAAGCCAAACAAAATAATAAACAAATTATATATATATATATATATATATATATATATATATATATAATTTTTTTTAGTTTATTATACATACATTATATATTATAATACATACAATTATAATTATATTTATGACATATATATAATAAAGTGCATTAGACAGGATTTTGGCTATTTCCATACATTTTCAAATGTATTTGAAAGTACATACATTTATTTTTGTATGGATCATTTCTACACACAAAAGATGGTTCTTCAAGGGTTCTTTAGTAAAGATAAACATTTTCTGAAACCGCTTATCCTTCTGGGTTGCTGGTTAGTAAAGAAAATGGTTCTGTATAGAACCATGAACACAAAAGAACCCCATGATTAAAGGGTTCTTTGCATTGTGAAAGCTATCTTCAGACTGATGGACACTGTGCTGTAGACGGTTCTATGTAGAACTGTTTTGAATGATGTTGTGAATCTGGTGCTGGATTGTTATGATATCAGACTTGTTACAATAGAAGAGCCCTTTTCAAAACACTTCTATATAGAACCATCTACAGCACATTGTCCATCATTCTGAAGAACCCTTTCACGATGCGAACCTTTAATTATGCATAAGGTTCTTTTAGTGTTCACGGTTCTATATAGAGCCCTTGATCATCTTCTTGAAGTGTGCATGTGTAATACATGTTAAAATACATGCATTTTAAAAAATATATTTGGTTAATACAGCAAAATATTCTGAAACACATTTTAGTGTTTGGAATGTATTTCAAATATATAAAAATGTGTCCATCTATTTTTGTCCACATGTGTGTTCATCTCAGAAATCTGATCTTTGACTAACACAACACAGAGATCTGCTTCCTTTCTGTTCGCTCAGGCTTACAAAAGGCATATTTTCCTCTGAGTAACCTGATAATATTCTTAGAACAGCTTTATAATGAGAGATATTACATATTCTCACTGTATGGTGCTGCATTTTGTTCAATGAGGATGGAGGATGGAGGATGGAGCTGGATGGTGATGGTGGTGATGATGCTGAGGGGTGGGGTTAGAGGCACAGCAATGGGGAGGGTGTGAGGGAGGGATGACGGAGAAAAAAGCAGCCAGGGCAGGAAGACAGCAGCGTTCTGCTGTGGTTTTGCTGCCTTTCAGCCTCCAGCTCGTTTTCTCCAGCCAAACTGCACAGATTCTACATCTGTTTCCTTTCACCTGCTGAAGGTGAGTCAAGCTATAACGCTTTATATCCACTTGTATCGCCTTTTGCTGCAGTGTTTTGCGCTGTTTTGTCGTTTTAAAGCGCTCAGATGCGAAGCAGGACACATATTACCGAGATAATATCCGCTGCTTATAGGAAAACGTTGTATATTGACGGGTTTTCCAGCAGCTCAAAGCGGCGGATGCGCCCCCTCCTGCCTGCTCTACTCCTCATTTTGTTAGCCTAGATGCAGATCAAACGCTAAACGTGCTATTTACTGGAAGCGTTTAAGCTCTGTGGGTTTGTATTATGGTCTGTATTCTGTGTTAGCATCTGTGTGAATGTGATTAAAGGCTCCACAGGCCTGTGGTTCGTTTCTCTGGATGGGCCCAACATCAGCATCAGCATCCAAGGACATTGAGCCCAGCCTACACTGCATGTGCACGAAAAAAAAACAGCCTCAGTCATCTCAGAGCTCTTCTGCTTCACTTGGTTGTGCTCCTAAAGCTACTGTACCCCCAAGCCAGCACATATTATAATGTATAAAGCCATAAAATTCCTAGTATAACCCGTATTTCAGGACCAGTTAGGTATGATTTGTTGTAGGTCTGATATTTTTGCTCTTCTTTCGTTGGTCGCCTGTGATTGTTCATCCATTAAGCATATAAAAATACATGGAAAATATGAAGCCTTTACAGTCTGTGGCCCAACAGCAAGTGGTATTCCACCTATTTTTCCAAAATTTCTGTATAATTTCAGTGAGTGAGTTGTAAACAGAGAGATTCAGAGTGGTTTGGTATGAAATGGTTCAGATGTCTTTACAGTGGTGGTGATAGGAACCAGGGGTCGCCATGACTACAACACAAATATAGACATTTTATTTACTATCCAAAACCACCAGTGAACCTACACGAGTCTTCTGAGTTTTGTATGGAATGTTGATGATGGGAAAATATTGGAAAATCTGAAAAAATAAGATTCCTTTGGGGACTATTTTGCCTCATAATGCCCTGCATGGATCCCTCCACCATGAATGGATTTAGAAATAAACCGAAATCTTTCCAAAACTCATAATGCAATGCCTCAGACATCAGTCAGCATTTTCACAACCATTTCATGTAATAACTTTATGTAATAATGCTAGACTCTAAAATGTGGCGTTGAATCTGCCCTTTAATCTTCGCTGATAATAATGTGATTTCTCACCGAGGAATTTGTCGATTTTTCTTTAGTTTGTCTAACAGCATTTAGACGTGCATTTTTAAGCACATGAATGACTCACATTTTATCGTTACTCTGATTAAGCAAATCAATAATAAGCGCTTACTGATCTGAATAGCAATCTGGATGAGCTTGCATGGTCACTCAAAAAACGATGCAACAATAAAGGAGGCCTTGTGCATCTTTTACACATTGATAGGAAACACAGTAGCACACAGAAAGCTCTGATTCTACATGCTAAGTTTAAGGGACCATTGCCAAATAAATAAATAAGTAGTAATAATAATTATAACTTTATTTGTTGATTTGTTGAGTGCTTTACAGACAGGTGGTACAAGAAAAGAATTTAAAAGAATTTTAAAATTAAAATCAACATTAAAATGAAAAACCTTGTTGTTTCTAGGTAGCCCATTAAATAGAGTTACAGTAATCAACTCTGCTTGTAACAAATGCATGAAGTCAAAATTAGAATCAGATTTATTGGCTAAGTATGTTGACACACACAAGGAACAAGTTTCTCTGATAGAAAAGGCCAAACTTTAGCAATATTTCGCAAATAATAAAAAGCCTCTTTTGTGATTGTGTTTAAATGTGCGATAAAACAGAGCTCAAAATCTAATATTATACTCAGGTTTTTTGATTCAGGTTTGATATACAAAGCAAAACAGCCTGGCTTCTCATGTAGTGACTTTCTCTGAATTTTAGTACCAAGAATCAGTATTTCTGTTCTTTTGTGATTTAGATGTAGAACATTTTGTGACACCCACTGTGAAATATCTGACACAAGCCTGTCAAGGTTCTTTCAGAAGGAGTGGAAACATATAGCTGTGTGTTATCAACATAGCTATGTAAATGATTTTGTTTCCTCATGACGTTACCCAAAGTTAACATGTACAAAGAGGAAGGCAAAGGCCCTAATATTGAACCTTGTGGGACTCACAAGAAATGTGAAATCGTAATTATATTTACGATTCTCCAAATGGGTTGTTGGCAAGATGTTTGGTTTGATAGGGTTAAACCCTTTCTATGTCTGCTTCTTATCACCACCACTGTGAGCAAAACTGACTTAGTAGGTTTCTCTAGAATGAAACATTTCACATTAAACCACTCTAGATGACTTTCAAATGACTGTGTTCTGCAGAAATTTGGAAAAATACTGAGAAAAGTTCTGACATCATATTATCTTGTAATTGGCAATTAGATTTTCACATGAAACCGAAAAGGCCTTCAGGATGTGCAAGTTAGTGTGTGTGTGTGAGCATGGGGGTGAGAAATTGCAAAAGTGGTGTATTAGTGGTATCGAATGCTTGTTGCTGCAAGAAGATGATACATTTTGTTACTGAACAATTCTTGTCTTTCTTGATATTTCAGGAGCAAAATTAAGCCAGGATGTGATCAATATGTTGAATAAACCTGACTGGGAGCTCCCTTGCCAGAAATCCCTTTTCCAAAATTGTAAAATTCATCCATTCTCCTTGTGCTAAACACCCACAATGCACTCTACCCGGCCCTCTGTTCCCCCACGGCCGCGTCGATTTGACAGTGGCAGACGCACCGAAGCTAAACCAGCCAATCCTGTGACCAGAAGGGAGGACAAAAACAGCATAAACAACAATTCCTCCTCCCCTCGTCGTGTTACTCGAGGACCTCCTGAGCCTTCCAGGTTCAAGAGCGTAGGCCAGAGTCCACGTTCCACAGTGACTCAGCCTAAACTGATCCGGCAGCAGAAGAACAGTGCCCAACCAGCGTCGGGGAACTCAAAACCAAAAGCTGGACATGCTGCATCAAACCAGGGCCCGGCTGTTGTGGATCCAAACTGTAATGAACCCAGTCTGCCTTGCCTATGTTGTGATGGCCACTCACTTCAGGATAGCAATAGCCTATTCAATCACAACCATAACAACAATAACACTGTGGCCCTCAGGCAACAGCTAAAGCTAGCACCTTCACCTCATAAAGACAAGGAGGCAGAGAAGAAGCCAGAAATAGGAAAGAAAGCCAAATGTAAGCCAGAGCAGAAGCAGCCAGTGGCTATTCCTGTGGCCAACCAAGTTGAGGACAGAGAGGAGGAAAATGGCAATGCAGAAGAAAAGAATGAAGATGATCACAAAGAAGATGATGATGGTGCTAAGGTAAATGTGGTAGTAGACGAGAATGGCAATGGTAACAACGATGTTGTAGCTGCTGCTGATGTAGTTGTTGGTGATGATGCTGATGATGACGAAGAAGACGACGACGACGATGACAATACTCTTGTACCTTCCTGCTGCGATTGTCCAGCATCTATGCTGGACTTCTCTCTCACTTCTTCTACCTCATCTTCGTCCACCTCCATTAGCAGCTGCTCAGATCTGGAGTCTGATTGCCCAGATACCTTTTCAGTGTCGTTGCAGGAGCAGGAGCAGGAGCAGGAGCAGCAGCAGGAGCTTTATCCTCCACCTCATTCCCCAGTGCCCAATGCTTTTCAGCCTTGCTCCCTGCCACTGGACCTCAGCACTTCCTTGAGACCACCACCATCTCCATGCTCCCCTGATGAGGGCTACCCTTCAGCTCCATCCTCCCCTTCTTCTGATTTCATGGAGAGCAAAGAACCTGATGAACAAAAGGCAATCAAAGTGGATCTTCTGAATTTCTTGGATTCCATAGATGAATTAGGCAAAGTCGATCGCTTCTATCGAATTGTTCAGGTGGCACATTGGGAGCTTGAGGGCGACTTGGATTTGAGAGATAGGCTGGTTCACCAGGAGAGGCTTGAGAAAGTCAACAAGCAAGTGAAGCTTGTCCATCTGGAAAGACTTCAGGAAGCTGGACTTGATTTTGATGAAGAAGATCTCTCGGGAGTGTTGGATGAGATGGGCAACATCGACATTTCCTGGAAGATGTACAAAAGTGACAAATCGTGTGATTCCCAGGAATACAGCGACGCAGGGGTGGATATGACAGCCCCATCTGACCTTGATGAACCTCCAGCACCAGATTCCCTTGTGCCATCTCCTGTGGAACCACCTCCAAGGCCTCCAAAACCTCCAGCAAGGCACATTAGTGCCCATCCAGAATTGCACACATATATGAACATCAGTGGGAACACACCTTCAGTTTCTTCTGCCTCCTCCCCAGTTAAGTCTTTTAGTCTCTCGGTTTCTGCATCCCCATCTTCTTCAGCAACAAAGCCCCCTGCTTTGCCTCCTCCACCATCACAGCCTGTACCTTATTTCACCCTTTATTCTGATTCACCCTCCTTACCTTCTCCCACTCCACCAATTCCACCTCCAAGAAGGCGCCATAAAGCCCGTCTAGAAGCCCAAAGGCTTGCTGAGCTTGAGAAAGAGAAGACACCTCAATCTCTTCCTGCTCCAACCTCCAGACCCCCACCTTTACCACCCCCACCGGCCATCCAGCCTTCTCCTCCTGCTATTCCACCTCCTCCATCACTCCCACCTCCTCCATCTTTCCACGATCTGGACGTGGAGATTCGTAAGCTGCTGGCACTGGCAGGGATCACCCAGGCTGAGCTGCTAAGACTTAGCCCTGAGTTGGGCGTCTGTGTGGATGGCATCTTGGAGGAAGGAGAGATATCTGAGATTTCCAAGACGAGCAAGGAGGAGAGAGAGGATGCAGGCAAGGGGAGCGATTTCAACTGGAGAGAAAGAAACAAGCTTGATGTGAAAGAAGTAGATGCAGTCAGTAAGGAGGAAGATGAAAAGAAAGAAGGAAGCAAGGAGCCCTTCAGAACAACATCCTTCACAGAGATGGCCAGGCGGCGCAAGCGAAACGGAGGGAGCGGTAACTCTAGCTGCGGCTGTGGTTTGGGGGATGATGTGGGCTTGACTGGTGACTCATATTACAGCACTGATATTAGCAATAAGGAGCTCACTAATGCTAGCTTTTGCAGTTTTGATTATGCCTCAGTGATACCTGATACCCCTCCTCCTCCGCCTCCTCCTCGGCCTTTACCCCCACGACCACAAATACTGTCCAATCCCCCTGAGCTTCCCCCAATAAAGCCATGCACTCTCCCGGCCAATGCGTCCAGGCCAGATAGATTCGACTGGCTGATAGCCTTTACCCCAGACACAGAGTCTCCACCACTAGACATTAAGAGGTCTTCGAATGATGCTATACCCCAAAAAGCAACTGGTCCAAAAGTCACTACCTTTAAAGAATTGCGAAACAGAAGCAAACAGGCTTTTCCACCAGCCCAAGTCAAACCGGAACCTGAACCAACGGTCATCACCCCAGACCCAGATTTCCTGTACAACCTCAAGTGGAGGAGAGAGAAAGCAGACGGGGATGGCACTCAGTGGGAATACACTTCCCAAGCACAAGCCACTTTCCTCCAGCCGCCACCTACACCTGCTTCACTGGCCCTCTTCAGGGAAATGCGCCACTTGAACATTCAAGGAGATGCCTCTCTTGGACCCAGCACCATGCAGCGAAGCGCTCATTTGGCCAGCAGGCATGATTCATGTGATTTTGGTGGTGACCGGAAAGGAGAGCAAACCGAGGAAGATGTGCAGAAGGCAGAGGTGAGAGGAATGGCCGATGGTGGACGCACATGGGAATCAAGAACAAGAGGTAAGTTTGCCTTAACGTAAGTTCAGACTTAAGGCCATTATCGTTCTCAGTGTTCTTGCGAGCTGGAGACCCTGAAGACTTCCACTTGGAATACTTTTGGTTGTATATTAGAGTAGGGATGGGCGACATCCTCCTCAGTCCTGAAACGGGACAAATAAACATAACAATGTAAAAACAGTGTTTTGTTATGAAGCATGCTCTCTGATGGGTGCTAAACACCATATTTATTTATTTATTTATTTATTTATTTTTGTTTACTGGAAAACATAACATTCAGTGTCCAGTATAGTAGAAGTTTGGACTTAGATGCATGAATATGATACGTTTTGAAAAATTTACAAAAAATTATTAAATTCAATTCACCTTTATTGTCCTTATACAAGGTACTTTTCTGATGCAGTGATAAAAAATCAATAAAAAAACCATAGTGCAAAGACAATAGACAAAGACAATTGGTGGGTAGACAGTAAATATAGAAGATGTGCATGTAGTAACAGTAACTGTAGGTCAGAATCACCAACATATATATATATATATATATATATATATATATATATATATATATATATATATATACATGCATTCGCATATATTTATATGCTTATTTCAAGTGTCTAATTCCAGTGTCCAGTATACTGGACAGGGAATTCCATTGAAATCACTAAAAAACGGTATTATCCCCAATATTATCTAGGGTTAGAATAATAGCACACCATCTATTTTCACCCCTAAATGCACATGAGATTCTACTTTCAACAAAATAAACAAAAATCTTGAATGATTGCACTTTGTAATGCATGAGTCCAGTACATTAATCAAAATTAGCCTACAGAGGTTTTGCCCCACCCATTACTGTTGAAGTGATAACGTGTGTTGTTATTGCGCATTTCAGCCCAGATGACTTTTTGAATGCTCGGTAGCCAATCAGAACACAGCTCATTTGCATATGTCAGTCTCAAAGACACAGTCTGTTTAAGTGTAATGGGTACAGAGAGGTTGGGCAATGGTCCTGTGAACTGAATTATGGCTGATTTTGGTATGTAAAACTACACAAACACAAAAAATGACAATATACAAGAATGGCCGTTTAGATCTGGGTTGGAAGTGTACAATGCAGGAGGGCAGTCAGTGATCACTGGAGTACAGGAACATGATGTGACAGCAGGGAAATGGAAGGTGATGAGTCAGGATGACGAGCGGCAAACTAATTCAGGACTGAGTGGTCTGATCAGTCAGACATATGCGAGCGTAGAGGAGGCTGCAGAGATTTCCATGCTGCTCCGCTGAGTCCCGTGATGTCATCTCAGGTTATTAAATTATTCATGTGCTCTGCAGGCTTGAAGGCTAATGGCATTTCTCTCTCTTTCTCTCTCTCTCTCTCTCTCTCTTTCTCTCTCTCTAGCTAAGCTATATATATATATTACGGCTTTGATGTTTAACTGTCCCTTGACCCAGATGCAAACGTTACCTCAATTCATGCTAATTCTGCCAATTAGTCAGCTTGTTTGGGTAGAGTTTAATCAAAGGTGTGACAAATTATTATGTTGTATGAAACATTTAAATTACATTTTAAATGTAATTGTTTAAATTAAATTTAGATTTTTTTTTATTATTAACACAACATTTAAAGGAATTGATGTACACAATTTTCCACTAAAGAGTTTTGCTTCTTTAGTGTAGAACTGAAGTGATGAGGCTAACATCGATAACAAACACTAGAAGTCAATAGTCACCCAAATCTTTTCTTTAAATATATCCACAAAACTTCTCTAAACCCACGCAAACGGGTGCCACATAGGTCCAGTAGGCTTGTTGATGTGGTTTAGGACACTGTAGGAGTTATAAATAGATATTAGTTTAAAAAAATTAAGATTACCCATTTTTTTTTTAAACTAGGCACGATTCGGCACAACACCTAGAAATTTACTTTAGGTAAAATATCTAATTGCTATTTTTTGGACTATTGTACTTTTAAGGGAAATGTTTAAGTGAAATGTGGAAAAAAAATTCACAATTGTATTTCACTTTTACACAGTTGCAGAATTTAAATTTACATTTACAGCTTTAAATCAGGTACTTAAGCATTTAAGACAAATACTTAAGATGTTTTAAACAAGTGGCCACGGGCCTTTTTAGTAAGAAAACCAGCGTGCCAGACTATCAGATCACAAGCTCTGTGATGCTAGATCAGATTTCCCCAATTAAACGTTGAATAACGAACAATATAATTTAAATTGGAGCTCTTTCAAACTGCGATTTTGATAAAAACGATTAATCAAACATCTGTTGTATAAAGAAGCCCACAGTGTTTAGCTACACTGAATTTCTGCTACTCACACTGCATCCCAAACCAAGTCTGCACCACCTTAATGAAGTCCTGGCTGCAGTTTGAGCAGGTTTAGAGAAGTTTTGTGGACGTATTTACGGATTTGGGTGACTATTGACTCCTCTTGTTTTTTAGATGTTAGCCTCATAGCTTCTACACTAAATAAGCAAAATGTACCAAACATGTCTTGGCTGATTGATCTGGGGTCAGCAGAAAGTTGTGTAAATTAGACTGTTTTGCCAAATTATTCCTTTATTAAGCTGTACAATGTAAGAACATCATATTAAGACATTTGAAGGTTTAAGTCATCAGGCAAGTCGTGCCCAGGCCTTGAATTATGAGTCAAAGGGACAGATGTTGGTGTATGTACCTTTAAGAGTTAGGAGGCGGGTCTAAATCTCCTCCAGCCAATGACAGAGCAGAGAGCACAACAAAAGCAAAACAGGAAAAGCAAAGCAAAACTGAATTTGAGGGAAAGGACCTGGCTCAGAGTAAGGTAATGCTGCTTTCCTGTGGATCAGTTTAATTCATTTAGAGATGAATATTCATATTACACATTAATATCAATATGACACGTTCCAGCTCATTACAGTCTGTGAGTGTTTCTGTGCTGAGGCTCAGAGCAGCTGTCAGAGTGCTTGTACTGAAAGTGCTTAGAAGTGCTTATTTAGAGTGAGTTACTGCTCCTAGCTCACCGTTGCGGTCAGTGTGTTGCAGAGGCTGGTGAAATCTGACCCCAGTCCAGGTCCTTAAGGACGTTTTCCCTTTCCCTCATAAACAAACGCTGGAAGACTAAGCTTTGAAACAGTTCTTTTTCTCCACATATGGACAAAAACAGCATCTGGTTTTAGTGCCAGGTTTACTGTTTGGACATGGACAGTGGGTGTGGTCAGCCTATACTGCATTGTTTGTATTAGATCAATTTGTGTGTTAGTTAAGTGGGCCAGTTCAGTAGGAAAGGTAAGGACAGGAAAGGGTGAGGTCATAGGTATGTAGGTATGTAACGTTTGTCCTGCATTTGTCGTGCATTCTAAGGTCCACTTATAACATATATGTGGTTTATATAGTTCTATTATCATATATTATCATATATCAGCCGGTCACCTCCTTGTTTTACACTCATTGTCCACTTTATCAGCTCTACTGACCATATAGTTTCACTCTGTAGTTCTACAGTTACAGACTGTAGTCCATCTGTTTCTCTGCATACTTTGTCACCCTGTTCTTCAGTGGTCAGGACGCCCACACCATCTGTTATTTGGGTGGTGGATCATTCTCAGCACTGCACTGACACTGATGTGGTGGTGGTGTGTTAGTGTGTGTTGCAGTGATGCTGGAGTTTTCAAGCCAGTGGACCGACATACACCGATCAGGCATAACATTCTGACCACCTCCTTGTTTCTACGCTCATTGTCCATTTTATCAGCTCCACTTACCATATAGGTGCACTTTGTACTTCTACAGTTACAGACTGTAGTCCATCTGTTTCTCTGCATACTTTGTTAGCCCCCTTTTACCCTGTTCTTCAGTGGTCAGGACCCCCATAGACCCTCACAGAGCAGGTACTATTTGGGTGGTGGATCATTCTCAGCACTGCAGTAACACTGACGTGGTGGTGGTGTGTTAGTGTGTGTTGTGCTGGTCTGAGTGGATCAGACACAGCAGTGCTGCTGGAGTTTTGTCCACTCTATTAGACACTCCTACTTTGTCGGTCCACCCTGTAGATGTAAAGTCAGAGACGATAGCTCATCTGCTGCTGCACAGTTTGCGTTGGTCATCCTCTAGTCCTTCATCAGTGGTCACAGGACGCTGCCCACAGGACACTGTTGGCTGGATATTTTTGGTTGGTGGACTATTCTCAGTCCAGCAGTGACACTGAGGTGTTTAAAAACTCCAGCAGCACTGCTGTGTCTGATCCACTCGCACCAGCACAACACACACTAACACACCACCACCACATCAGTGTTACTGCAGTTCTGAGAATGATCCACCACTCAAATAGTACCTGCTCTGTGGGGGTCCTGACCACTGAAGAACAGGGTGACAAAGTATGCAGAGAAACAGATGGACTACAGTCTGTAACTGTAGAACTACAAAGTGTGCCTGTGTGGGCAGTGGAGCTGATAAAGTGGACAATGAGTGTAGAAACAAGGGTTCATGCTACAGTGATTGTTCAGTTGTGAGCTACTGTGTAACCAAGGACAAATTTCTTGTCAGGGCAAAAATACCTGACCAGGCTATTTTTGTTACTGTGCCTTTAAGGCTGATATATTCAAATGAGCTCTGTTCTGTTTGGATGCCCTGTACAGTTCCTTGTTCATAAAGCAGTCCAGACTGAAACACTTCTTACAACTTCAGTGTGAGTGGCTGGAGCTGAAGTGGTGTAGGATAAGTAGATATATGCAAATGTGCCGGTTTTAGTGACATCACAAGAACAGTGAGTTCCCAACAGGCTGCAGTTTTGTTGTAGAATACATTATCAATAAGCTTTAAATGTGAACTGGCTGTGGATAAGACCAATCAGATGCCACGAAACACCCTGTATATGTGACATCACAACCATCACAACTGGTAGCTTCATGCCAAAAAAACGTGGATATTCTGTTCTTCTTCGCCAAAATAAGGCCTGGAAATTCATTTATAGAAAATAATTGCATTTAAATTGGTGAGAAAA